TTTGGGCGGGCGCCGGCGCGCCCCCGCCGGCCTGGGGGAAGGGGCTGCTGGAGGTGCTGCCGCGGGCCAAAGCCTACGTGCAGGACACCGGCTTCTTTGTGAAGGAGAACATGGGCCAATGGTGAGCTGCACTTCCAGCACTGGGTTTTGTTAAAATTAAAATGTCTCACGTACGAGAGGACGAGCTCTGTTTATACTTAAGCTTCAATGATTGCATTATGGTAAACTCCTAAAGCAGCACATCTGCTGTGGGATCAAATCTATTCAGAAAGTCTCTGAAGTCTCCCAGGGGAAAAATACCTCTAACTTATTAAAAAAAAAAGGAAGTCGGATTGTGTTTAGGTCATGTGGTTGTGGCATTTTTTGGATCCAGTATGAAGCAGCTAGACTTGTCATCTCAAGCAACCGTGATCTGATGAAAGATGGAAAGCAAGGCTGGGGAACAGCACCAGGCTTAGGGCTGAGCTCAGTTTGAAAGTTGTAACCAAATCTGGCTGCAGGTTCAGCGTGGCTCTGTGCGCAGGGGCACATGGAGCCAAGGGCAGAGGTACTCTGAATCTGGGAGGATGACTCAGTTCTCGCTCTGAGCCTTTGAATCCTGCGCAGCGCGACAGCAGCAGGTGCTGGGCTGCCTTCTCCCATGTGGCTGGAGGGAGGGGAAATCTAACTCACTGAAACATGTCTTTGTGCTTCTTCCTGTAAATCATGGCCCTAGTTTGACAAACGGGGGGACGCCTACCATTTTGCAGAGCCATCGCTCCGGGCTCTTGACATGACACGTTTTCAGCTGGTGGCCGACAGGCCTGCGGGGAGCTCAGGTACATGCTTGTGCTGTGGGATGTCTCTTACAACCCCTCCATCCCATCTCCTGTTTTGCAGGCACTACTTTGAAGAGCAATGGGAAAAATACCTGGCGGAGAGAGGCATATCAGACGGGGTCTCGCCGCCCACCTTCCCCCCCAAGTACGGCGTGGAAGAGAGAGACTTGTTCTACCCCTCCCTCAGCTACGACGGCTGGGGGGGCAGCAGCGGGCACGACGCCCCCATGATCGCATACGATGCGCTGCTGGGTGCGGGGGACTCCTGGGCAGAGCTGGCTCACCGGGCTTTCTTCCACGGGGGCGACAGCGATTCCACCGCCGCCATCGCAGCCGGCTGGGGGGGAGCCGTGCATGGCTTCCGGGGGGGCAGCGCTTCCCTCTACACCCACCTGGAGTACAGGGACCGCCTGGAGCAGGTGGCCAAGGACTTGTATCGCATCACCTAGGCAGGAGGGGGTGGCAGGGCCCCCCAGGGGTGCGCTCACCCCACCTGCTGCCCCTTGCTCGCTCGAGGTGTTGCAAACTCGGTTTGCAAACCTGCTGGATTCAAGCACGTGAGCATAAGCCAGAGCCAGCCCTGCTTTTTCAGTGTTTGTGTGTCGGATTCAGTGGGGAGGCCGTTTTGGAGCTAGTGGCTTGGGGCTTGTGGGCAGCGGGTGGGGGAGAACAGTTACAAGGGGGTCTGATGGGAGCATCAACGGTGCGTCTGTCCCTCGAGCAGCCGGGCCCCGAGACATCCCTCCTCCTCCTCAGCATGCCAGCTGCACAGCTGCTAGCTGTGTCTGGGGACAGCAGAGTTTTTCCGTACAATTATTTTAGCAGAGGATAGTTTTTGTTTTAAATGAATGTGGGAAAAAAGCCAAAGCCAACCTTACAGCTGCGTCAGCAGTGCATTTTGCACAAGTTCACAGCGCTTTTGCTATATAGATAAGACTGTTATCATGCTATTTCTCTATTTCAGTTAATGTGGGAGTTCAAGACTACCGACCAAACCCTTATTCAAGGTAGAAGTCAGTAATGAGAAGTCAAAGGTTGCATTTTAAATCAACTTAAGCAACTTCTGTAGTGAATTACATTCTTTTGCTTACATCAAGGTTACTAAAGACTATTTGCTTAATGTTTGCTATGGATAATTCTATTAAAAAATATGTTTTTTTTTCTTCAAATCGAGACTATTACATAGCAAAGTACTTACTATTTTCAGAGCAATTTCAAAAACGGTGTTGCCCACCTAATAAATAGATGTGACATGCCTCTGTTAAATGTTGTATTCTGTTACGGGATGAATTAAGGGATAGGAGGGAGAAATATGAAGACCTGGAGGGAGCAAGGTGTCTGCGAGCTCCAGCCTGCAAGAGAGGGGAGATGTGCTACCGAGGCAAGAGGACGCTTGGTGCATCAGGGAATAGAGGTGGTAGGAGAGGCTGCCTAAAACGGGGAGTGGGCTTAGCAGTTCAGCACACCTTTATGCAGGGAGTGCGCATAAAGGCATAATGAAAGCCCAAATCTGACAAAAACCAGCAGCAATAGGGATCACAATTTCAACACAGTTTACTACAGCTCTCAGGTGTGTTGTATAAAACATGTTTTAGTGCAACATAGTACAAAGTTTTTGTTGTTGTGGGTTTTTTTTTTTCTTTTTTTTTTTAAAAAAAAAATCCCAAACATTTTTCCACATCATGCATGGATAGGGTACCTCTCTTTCATCTCGGGTTCAGTACAGAAAGTTACAGCAGAGAGAGTGGTTTGAAAAGCTTTGTGTTAAAACTCATTACAGGAAGAGTCTGCCTTATAAAAACAGAAGTTTGAGACTGGGCAAGACACTGCCAGAGCAACAGAGAAATGTCACCGGCCAGGTACATTCAGGGACCACTGTGGGAGCTGCTTCCCGGAAAAGCCTGGCCTCAGCGCAGGAACCACTGGGCTGGGAAGGGACCCGTTTCGGCCAGGGGGATGGGGCCACAGGACAGCCC